ACAATAGGCATACAGCTGTTATTTCAAGACATAGCACCCTGAAAGTTTCTAGACCTCTACATAGGTGTGTAGTCTACCTATAGTGCTGCCATGTTAGAATTCAGCCTCAGTTTACAGGTTTTGATCCATGCTGCTGTTTCAATAGATCTAAATTACATCCATGTTCCATATTTTCAACTTGTTTTTTTTTGTACTGCTGCTTTTATAACAGAGATTTTTTTTACCAACTTCTTCTTTTTTTTTTTTTTTAGTTTTGCATTTGCAAACAACCTCCCCACTCCAACCCCCCGGTTCTATTTTTTCCCAACCAATTCCATTTTCTAGCAGTGGTCCAGTCCTCAGCCTATCAGATAATTAAGAGCTTCCTATATTTGTCCACAGCCGTCCCATTATCAAGACCAGATTGCAATTTACCATTTTGTGATGTTGGTGACATGAAGTAATAGATCTGGGTGTCATACTGATGGCCGCACTCCACATCCTTGAATGATCTCTGCCAATTGCTGCAGGTAGATGCAGAGTCCTATGGGACACTCAACATTTTGCAGCTGAGAAATAAGTACTCTCTTGTGATGGGGGATTGAGGGAAACCTCTCCATATGTCCCAAAATGGCTTGTCTGCATGCTCATGACAAGCAACAACATGTAATCTTTTTCTCATAATGAACTCAACTCTAAATGATCTGAAAAGGAGAACACCTACTATGTGAACTTATTACTAATCTCCAAAAAGAATGAAAATAGTGACAACCATTTGCTACCTACAAATGAGCATGAAGTGGCCAATTGTAGGGATTCTCATATGATTCTTTTTGGGAAGCATTGGAGTGCAATGTTGGTATTCGCGTGCTAAAATTTAAAGTGCTCTTTATTCATAGTTACTGCTGTATGTTTTCTCTTGGATGCGTAAAACCATTCTCCGTCCATAGAAGTCTCTATATTCTTCAGGTAGTTCTTCCAGGGTTTTTAGTGCCCTATCCAAAATTTGTACTGCTCTTGAGGCTGCAGTGAGATCTTTGTTTCCATAAGTGTCTGTTTTATCATAACAATCTGATGGAAGATGTTTCCAGAAAATGTTGACTCCAACTCCAAACTCCTCAGAAATCACATTATGAAACCACAAGGCTGAAAGATAAAAAAAGAGGGTTGAAAGATGTTCTACAAATACTAAATCAATGTACTGCTATTTTGTTCTCAGCCAAAAGAAAGTGGTACCATTTCTTGAAAATGCCAAAAGCTTATCTAAGGGCAGCAGATGTAAATGTTTTGTAAAAACATGTCAAAAGATTGAATGCCTTCAGCTCTTGTGTAAATGTTAATTGCAGGTCCAGGATGTTTCTTTAAGTTTTATGGAGCTTCAAATTTTCCATAGCTAAAACCACTCTGAATGGCAGAACTCTGTTGGATCAAGGAGGAGACAATTTATATGAATCACTCCTTTCCTGCACCTCAGCAGCCTCTCCCCACTGATCTGGAAGGTCCTCTAGAAGCAGACTATGGGATGGCGGGTAGTTTGGAAAGCCTGGCAAAATTATCTTCTTCCACCAATGAGATCTTCAGGTTTACAAGGCTTATACTGGCAACTCTGTAGCAATAATGGCAACTCTGTATCAAATCCTTTATAAAACCCAGTGCAGACCTTTAGAACATGAACACCATCAAACTGAATACAACTTATTTGTTGTTCATTCGTTGTCGTCTCCGACTCTTCGTGACCTCATGGACCAGCCCATGCCAGAGCTCCCTGTCGGCCGTCACCACCCCCAGCTCCTTCAAGGTCAGTCCAGTCACTTCAAGGATGCCATCCATCCATCTTGCCCTTGGTCGGCCCCTCTTCCTTTTACCTTCCACTTTCCCCAGCATAATTGTCTTCTCTAGGCTTTGCTGTCTCCTCATGATGTGGCCAAAGTACTTCAACTTTGTCTCTAGTATTCTTCCCTCCAATGAGCAGTCGGGCTTGATTTCCTGGAGGATGGACTGGTTGGATCTCCTCGCAGTCCAAGGCACTCTCAGCACTTTCCTCCAACACCACAGTTCAAAAGCATCTATCTTCCTTCGCTCAGCCTTCCCTAAGGTCCAGCTATCACATCCGTAGGTTACAACTTATACAACTTATAAAACGATATGATTTCGGCTTGCTGAAAGCTTGACGGTTTTCTTCCCTGATTTTATGTTCAAAGTCCAATTTAAGCTGCAAAAAACAGCTGTGTAAATTCCCTGGCATGCTGCAATGCATTTAAGTTTGAATACTGAATCACAATTTGTGAAAGCTTAATTTATGCAAAAATTGAAATTAAAAAATCCAATGAAGACATAATACGAATTAAGTAACATTTTAACTCCAAACATTAGCACACAAAATCTCTAGGGGAAATATTATTCTTATTTTCTCTTGAAAGGCAGAATGTGTGAAAAATATTTGTATACCTTCCTACCAACATTGCTTAGTTTCCTCAAAAGCAGCACAGTAGTTGACTTCAGGAGGTAGCATAAAGGAAAGGAGTGCTATCCCTTACATACAATCTTCACATTTTGTTTTCATACACGTATTTCAACCAATATTTTTTATTCCAATATTTATAGCCCTTCAATTTTTCAAAAATATATATATGAGGCACTCAATCGATGAGTGACAGTCCAAATCAGCCATTCAATTCAAGAGAAATTCATAATACATCTGACATGAAAGTGCTGTGAACAAAAGCTAATTCCTTGATATGTCACTATTGCTTTCCTAGCAAGTGGTAAAACATGTCAAAGCAAAAAGCTGGAATGTACTGATGGGCTCAATAAAGATACAGCATTCTGCCGAGGGTATTTTTTTTTTTCGTGTCAGGAACTACTTGAGAAACTGCAAGTCACTTCTGGTGTGAGAGAATTGGCCATCTGCAAGGACATTGCTCAGGTGATGTCAGGCTCTTTTACCATCCTGTGGGAGGCTTCTCTCATGCAGAAGGGTAAATTAATAGCACCTCCATCCATGCTTTCATGTGCTGTTTCAAATACTAAAATCCTGTTATCAGGATCAGAAGGAATTACAGCTAGCCGGGACAAGATAAAACAGAAACGGAAAGACTTATACCTGGCAGGAGTTAAAACTCAATTGTGCAGGTAACCATACTTTTCCAATTGTGGAAACTTAAATCCAAGCCTTAAGTTTTCTTATACTGTAACAGAAAATGGAGCTTTTAATCAACGACAAGTAGAAAAAAAATGCCTCTTTTATGAATGTGGACCTTTTTTAAAAAAATATCTTAAGCACTTTTGTTCTATGTTTTAAATTATTCAGAAATAAGAAACATGGCCCAGAGACACTGCTGTGCAATGTAAAGATGGATGCAACTGCAGCCTGTTGTAATGGCATTACAAGTGGAAGGTGGCAAGTTTGTTAAGTATTAATATAAAATGAACCAGGACTGTTTCACATTAGTGATACAGTGTTTTACGGAGAGGGGCCAAGTGCTATTCCGCATGTTAAGCAGATAAATTTCATCATGACTAGAGTATCATGACTAGGGTGGTGACGGCCGACAGGGAGCTCTGGCACGGGCTGCTCCATGAGGTCACGAAGAGTCGGAGACGACTGAACGAATGAACAACAACAGAGTTATAAACTGTTGGGGCAAGAAAAAAATGTAACTATCTTTTTATGGTCTGACCTTGAGGGAGCTGGGGGTGGTAACGGCCGACAGGGAGCTCTGGCATGGGCTGGTCCATGAGGTCACGAAGAGTCGGAGACGACTGAACGAATGAACAACAAAATCTTTTTATGGTAGTGGGATTGTATGCTCCTGTGCTATGCTACGCTTTACTCAGAGGGAAATATTATACTAAATGGAGTAGCATCAATAGTGAGATATGGAGAAAGCAGCCAATGCAAAATCTGACCAAACAATGTCAACAAGACTTCAGGGGAAATCTATAAATATTAATCATAATCCAAGTTTATGCTCCAGCCGCAAAGGCAGAAGAAGAAGAAGAAACAGAAATATCCTATGCAGGAGTAAAGGACAAACTGTTCACATTCCAAACATGACATGTTGGAAATCATAGGTGATGATAATGCAAGAGTAGAAAATGGGGTAGAATCAAAGACTGAATTGATCAAAATAGGTGGCTTTTTAATAAGCCCACATGTTATAGTCCACATGGAACTTTTGTTCATCTGTATGGCACAAATGTTCATTTGGGGAGACTGAAGAATGACTGATGTGGCATTATAACAGCCACATACCAGGGCTTTTAACCAAATCCTAGGCCTCATCTGTACGGTTAGTGCTTTAATCATCTTTGATTGAATTAAACTGAATTAAAAAACTAAAACTGAAAGTGTGGCTTTTTCCAGACTTTCTTTTTTAAAAAAATAGTTTTATTAGGTATATTTCAATGGATACAAAATGTAAAGGAAGAAAAGTTATAAACTTTAAAACAGTGGAGTGTGTATAAGGCAAGACTAGGGAAGGAGGGAGGAAGGGGGAGAGATATGGGGAGGGTTTGGGAATGGGGGAAAATCCTATTGGGGGACATTAAGATTCGGGGGCATGCAGGGACAGGTTTAGGATATAAGGGATAGGTCTAGGGTTTAGGGGAAAGATGGGAGTGAGGGGGGGGGGGTCCAAATGGGGGGGGTGGAGTTTTGACTTCCAAGTCTTCTTTCTCCACGTCCTTGGCTTTTTAAGTTTCTTAAAGTTTCTTAAAAAGATTCTTCATGTGGTTTCTCCCTTCTGTTCCTGTTTTTGATTTCCTTTCCGATTCTTCTCACCTCTCTCCAAAGTTACTTCTTTTCCATGAATTCGTCAAAGAGCTTCCAATCAGTTCTCTTTAGCGGGCGTCCATGCGAGTCTTTTAACACATAGGTCAGTATGTCCATTTCTCTTATTTCATGTACTTTTTCCAGACTTTCAACATGCAGGCCACAATCAAAGAACCAAGATGGCTTCACTAACTATTTATGAATGGTAATTCAGAAAGAAAAATATAAGCACAGGGTGTCCTCTTACCAGGAATGAACAAGACATCTCCTGCTTTCAGTTGGCATTCATAACGTCTGGCCTTGACAAAGAGAGGATATTTCTTCAAGTCTGGCTTGTCCACATCTAGCACCTCAGATTTTGTACCTGGTAAAAGATTTCAATAAGCAAAGAAAATCACTTTTTCTCTTACAAAATATTATTCTTGGGACTATTAAAACAAGGTTCTGTGAATAGGGAAATTGTATGTGTGAGTACACATGTGAGAAAGCAATCCCTGTACATCAGTAATTCTGAACTCTCATTTGCTAAAGTCAATATTGTTTTCCTGTATATATATTTATTTGAAGTATTCTTGTATCCCCTCCTCAAAAGGATTCCCAAACAGATGGATCTGATCTATATTTGAAGTTACTGAATATTTCTGAATCAAATTCAACCATGGTTAAAGAATAACTTGATCAGAATGGACATGTGTTCTCCCTGTACAGTATCGGAAAAGTTAGGCACAGTGGTTTGCTATTCAAGATATAAAAGCACACTAGACCCTTCCACACAGCCATATAACCCAGAATATCAAGGCAGAAAAATCCACAATATCTGCTTTGAACTGGTTTATCTGAGTCCACACTGCCATATTCCAGTTCAAAGCAGATAATATGGAATTTTATTCAGCTGTGTGGAAGGGGCCTAGGATTTCATATAAAATTAAGGACACCCTCTTGAGTTCCTAAGCATAAAGCATAGTTGTACACGTGGGTTATTTTTGAACAGCAAATCGGTTCTCAGCTGCTGGGAGTATCAGCAGTCAACTAATTTTCACAAAAATGACACATTGGAGCAAATATTTCCATTTCATATATAAATGTATAGAACCTGAGGGTCATGGTAGACGACACTTTATAAAAATGCTCAAGCAGCTATGAAAAACCAAATGTTACAATTTTTAAAAGGCAACAGATTAGGAAAAGTCAAGAAAAAAAAGAAGTCAAATTATTAGTTGGCCAAAAGAAACGGCTCCAAATTGGGTGTGTTCTTGTCTTTTTGAGATAAAGCTGATTTAACAGGTTCATGAAATTGATGCGAACAAGGGACATTTTCCTCTCCCATAATAGACTCTCATTGGGTTAATCCACTGATAATAATTAGCCATAGATTCACAAGAGAGATAAGAAAGTACAATAATGTATAAAATTTAAGGAGTTTGCTTCCAAAAATGAGGCGATCACTAGCTTAGGATAGTTTTAAAAGAAGATCAAACAAATTCATACAGGAATTTTTTTTTCTGTAAGTACCAGATATAAAACTAATAGGTGGTTTCAGACGCAATATGCACCCTGCATACCAGCCGGTAGAGATTAGAAAGAGGGAAAGCCCGCTGCCTCCATGTTATGTTGGTTGGCTTTTCATGGGCACCTGGTATGTCATGGTGAGAAATAGGACCAGACTGGAGAGACATTCAATCTCATCCAGAAGCTCTTCTTCAGCAGCCAACAGCACTCTTCTAAAAATTATGCACAGCTTGAAAGCATTTATTTCTGGGGTAGTGAAAACCAGAACTTTTGGATTGTCCCAGCCAACACCACAAAATATCCTGACAAGGTAGCATTTTCATATCCTGACAAGATAGCATTTACATACCTGATAAATATAAATATGGTGCATCGCGGGGACTGTACAGTACAACCCGTTTCTTTCCTGTCACCTGAATTAAGAAGTTATCCATTACCTACAAAAAAAAAGAAGAGCAGTATTACTTAACAAGTGAAAGAAATATATTTCAGTGTCATTTAAACCCTGCTAAGTATATTATGTAAAAGGAATGCCAAGAACCTTTGCAGTTACTCTGAAAATCACATGAAGGCTCATTAAGCTTGGTATATGTCATAAAGCAGCATCACTCCCCTTGTCTCCCTTTCTGGTTCGTGCCTATCTGACTCATAATCTCTAACAAAGTTGTTGGGTTTTTTTGTCGTGTCAGGAGCGACTTGAGAAACTGTAAGTCGCTTCTAATGTGAGAGAATTGGCCGTCTGCAAGGGCGTTGCCCAGGGGACGCCCGGATGATTTGATGTTTTTGTCATCCTTGTGGGAGGCTTCTCTCATGTCCCCGCATGAGGAGCTGGAGCTGATAGAGGGAGCTCATCCGCCTCTCCCCGGATTCAAACCTGCGACCTGTCGGTCTTCAGTCCTGCCGGCACAGGGGTTTAATCCACTGTGCCACCTGGGGCTCCTCTGACAAAGTGCTTGTTATCATTATATATTGGCCATTGGGCAAAACGAAGATGAAAATGTATCTATTTTTCTTTTTAGTCTCCTTACTGGGCTAGTCCACATACATGCATTTACTAAGAGAGAGAGAGACTTTTCCTCTACACCACAATGACTATAGTGCTGATAGTAAAAAAAATCATGTACCCCATTGTCATCCTCCTTCTTACCTCATGGGTGTACTGAAACAAGAAGCCAATTCCCTATTTGTGTGTATATGCGTGCTTTTGATGTTCTGATTCCCATATCCTACAAACCAAAAGTGCAGATATGAGGCTGAGAATAAGATTGTATGCCACTATGCCAGTCATGCTGTGTCTTAAAAGCAAGTCAGGCCCCAAACAGGAGGAAAGGCAGATGCTGTACTTAACAGGATCTTTTGTCACCTAACAAAGGGAAAATCACATATTGAGGGAAGATGGCTTGAAAAGAGGACCCACAATTAAGACCTTGTCTTCCAGAAGACTAGTAATTTATCCTGTCTTCTTTTGGTCCTGACTTTCTTTAGCCATCAAACCAGTCATCTTCCTAAATGTCTTCCTTGCTATCCAGCCCTCTTTCTGTGACCCACTGGTTGCTTGCTGTGACTCTCCTGTCCACAACAGATCCTAACACCACAGCTGTGGAGATCTTACGCTTACATACACAGACAGAAATATCACAAGCCCTAATACACGGAAACACAACTGTTCTCACATGTCACTGAACACCCATAACAACCGTCTCCATTAGCCACAGTAGCTGTGACTGTAAAGCCAACTAGCCGTACCCCAAACCTCCCATGTTGTTCACTCACTTTCTAAATCCTTCCCTATGCTAACATTTGCCCTCACTCTTTGTTACTATTATAAGTGGGCACCTTCTTTGGTGTTGCCAGAACCTTCCATTACACACTGCCTTGGATTACTTTGTGGGAAAACTAGTTGCTTCTTTTTAAAAAAGGGTTCTAACTTGCAAGCAATTGCTCTTGTAATGCTTAGCCAGATATCATTTGTGGAACTAGCCCTATGTGCGTTTGTTATTTCAAAATGGCCGACTGGTATGCTTTCCTGGCAAACAAGTCTGGGTGAATATGTCTGAGTGGAAAATTTAAATTAATAATATTGACACTGGTTCAGGTAAAAGGTGTACCCAGCCCAGCATTCTGCTCACATGGCAGTCAACTAGTTACTTAAGATAGCAGAAGATAAGTACAAATGTGTCCTCCACATTATTCTCCCCATCTGGATATACAGGGGCATACTTCCCAAAGCGAAGGGATCATAAGACTGAAGGCATCTTGATGACATCTTCTCCACCCCAACTGAAAGATGTATTTCTTACATCATAATGTGTCCAGAGCTGTAGTCCTGCTGAGCTTATCCGGAAGACAGTGGAAAATAATTGCTCCTTTTCAAAGTATTCTGGGATGTGAATATCATCTGCCAGGAGAGGAAATTGTTTTCGGAGATCTGCAATATCCTAGGAATGGACAAGGCATCACATTAATGATCCCTTCCTCAGTGGAAGCTATGAACCATAATATGCACACTGAATATTTCTTTCCTACATGAAGTAAATAGCTTTGAACTTTTTAAATGCTGATCTAATTCCTCCTGTACCTGAGAAAATGTGCTCTCAATAACACATTTGGGGAGTCAGTAATAAACTAATCAAGGCAGAGCAGGCAGGCTGCCTCAAATACACCACAGTTTTCATAAAAGACACACTTCAGTGAATGCAAGTGGTTATGCTGCATACATTTTGTATCTTTAAAAATACTAAATCCCACATTCAATTCACTTTCTTTAGTAACCAGGATGTAATTTAGCAAGAGAGCAGGAAAGAGCTGTTCAGCAGTGGAACTCTCTGCCTTGGAGTGTGGTGGAAGCTCCTTCCTTTGAGGCTTTTAAGCAGAAGTTAGATGGCCATCTGTCAGGGTGGCTTTGTTTGCGCTTTTCCTGCATGCCAGGGGGTAGCACTAGATGGCCCATGTGGTCTCTTCCAACTCTATTATTCTATGATTCTGCGGTTCTATGAAGAAAAACATATGGTACAAGCCAACAGGGGTGTGCCTTGATTTAGAAGACAAGTGCAACCCAGGGAATGAATGTAGCCCCTCCACACAGCTGAATAAAATCCCATATTTTCTGCTTTGAACTGGAATATATGGCAGTGTGGACTCAGATAACCCAATTCAAATCAAATATTGTGGGATTTCCTGCCTTGATATTCTTGGTGATATGGCTGTGTGGAAGGGCCCCAATTCTGTCTTTCTGCCCCTCAAATCCTCCAAACAGCCAAGTATAGGCTTTTGTCTGGACCTGGTAAAAACTGCACCAACTCTACTGGCCAGTACAGGAGACTCTATTTTCAATAGATTAAACCCTTCCATCTCTACCTTGGTGTTTAATACAAAACATACTTAAATTCCTAATTTAGAAATGGCCTTCCAGCCACCTCGATGATTATCATGATAATCATGCATTTTTGTACTCCATGAAATTGTAGAGCAGTGGTTCTCAACCTGGGGTCCCCATATGTTTTTGTCCTACAATTCCCAGAAATCCCAGCCAGTTTACTAGCTGTTAGGATTTCTGGGAGCTGAAGGCCCAAAACATCTGGGGATCCCAGATTGAGAACCACTGTTGTAGGGGGTCCTGGGGCAGAAAGCAGCAGGCAGCTCCAGAGCTAGAGTGACATGGTTCAAGATCATTCAATTAACCACTAGTTATGGAGCCTTTTGCGAACATGGCTTATATCTGATCAAAACTCACTCCATAGCTCTATGAGTCAACAATGAACATCAGTGATGTATGTCTTTTTTATAATTAATAAGTCCTTCCTCGGTTACAAAAGTCTTCATAATCCTGAGATTATTGCAGGGGAAAAATGAATTGGTGGCAAATCAAAATGGACACATTAATCTATGTAATGTACCATATTTTGTGTGCTTACTTCTTACATGTCTGTGACTGAATCCCTGCATATTCAATTCAGTATATGGTGCTGTTGAATCAAAATAGGACATATTTATTTTTCACATGATTCTTACCTTTAATAGCTGTGGGGTAGCTTGATATGTGAATACAGTCTGCCTCTACATCTGTGGATTTGAGTTTTGTGGATTTTATTCTTCACTGATTTGATTTAAACTGTTTTCTCCAGGAACCTCTAAGGGCCCTTCCACACAGCCCTATATTCCAGAATGTCAAGGCAGAAAATCCCTCAATATCTACTTTGAGCTGTATTATCTCAGTCCACACTGCCATATATTCCAGTTCAAAGCAGATGATGTGAGATTTTATTCAGCAGTGTGGAAGGGGCCTAGGTGCTCCACTGCAATTCTATGGTCAATATCTGCCAGAATTTGATGATAGAGTCATGCTAGAAAACAAAATATTCCTACAACGAACATACTCAGGTTGAATGCATTCAGAACAGCAAAGAACAACACCCTTAAAGATGAGCTGTTACATTACATACCTTTCGTGGGTCTTCTCCCAATGACCGCAAATAATATTTTTCATCCTTCAAAACAAACATACAGAAAAGTCATTGCGAGGAACAAACATACAATCATCTTTCCAATGTAACAAAGTGGTGGCAAGGAAAGAACTAAAGGACTTGTCCAATTTCATCTGCTAGTATTTCTTTTTATCAGATGCAGAATTAAGAATTATCAGATGCAGAATTAAATATGAATTGCCATAAGATTAACATAAAGAAATTAGTTCTGAATGGTTGTTTTATTTATTTAGGTTTAAAACATGCTTAGCACTAAAATCTGGGGTCAGATATCAAAAGCAAACATTAAGCTGCACAGAACAGAATAAAATCTAGTCAGCTCCCTTAATAATTCCTCCCTTCCCCAATTTTTCCCTGGTTTTACTGTGAATCTCAAGGACTGGCCAGAAAAAAAAGGAACAGGAAGCTCCTGACACTGGACTTGTCCATCTTTGAAAGAGATTTCCACCCTTTCCTTTCCCTGATCCTTTTAAATAGATACCAGAGATTTAATCAAACATTCCCTACCCAGAAAGGGTATGGTTGACTGAAATCATTTCCATTAAAAGGTGCAATTGGCACCCTGTTAACTACTCGTAAGAAACCAATTTATTCTTCCAACTTTCCCTAACCTGGTACACTTCCAGTATGTTATCTCTAATTCATGGCATAAATCGCTATATTGCAAAAAAAGTGGGATAAAGTAAATAAAATAAACAAATAAAATGCATTCCCTGAACTTATTACATTGCCTGGTTCACCAATACTCAATTATTCATGTTATTATAGCAACAGCTACTAAATCATACACTTACCTCTGAAATAAAGTACTCTGTGTGTTTGGCTTCAGCTGCCCTCCTTACAAAAACATCAAAGGGTAGTGTTCTGAAATTTCAATATATATTCATATAAATATATTTATGAAAACCTTTACTTTAACTGATAAGTGATATTGCACCAATAGCCACTATCAAAAAGTAAATACATCACTTTTAAATTTGATTTTAGTATAAAGGGAAGGTACTTCCAAATACAGTGTTAATACAGACATTATTATTATTATTATTATTATTATTATTATTATTATTATTATTATTTATACCCCACTTTTTTTCTCCACAAGGAGACTCATAATAATCCACAGTCACAGCAAACCAAAAGGGACTGTGTATCAAGAGACAAGAAATAGGAACAGAGAAATTAGGGTTTTTGAAATACTTCCAATAATTAAAAAAAAAACCCTAAAAATCTGCACAGGAAGTGGCAAACTACTAACATCAATGGTCAAAATCCTGTTGGTGACATATGGTACTGTAACTTGGGATGGAAGATTTATTTATTAAAACATTTCTATCCTGTCTTCTATCAAAAGATCTCAGAACAGTATACAATCAAAACAAATGCAAACTATTAAAAATAATATGAATTCAACTAGACTAAACTTAATGAACAATAACAACATAATAACTCAAAGACTTAAAATATTAAAATAGTTTAGCAGTTTTGTGATAAATGGCTCATAGCCTATCACCTATAAAATGCTGGCATGTTACTCTATATACGAATGAGTTCCTGAGTTACAGATTTGGTTCATTTAAACCAGGGGTCCTCAAACTAAGGCCCAGGGGCCGGATGCGGCCCTCCAAGGTCATTTACCCGGCCCTCGCTCAGGGTCAACCTAAGTCTGAAATGATTTGAAAGCACACAGCAACAACAACCACAACAATCCTATCTCATCAGCCAAAAGCAGGTCCACACTTCTGATTGAAATACTAATACTTTAATATTTGTTAAAATTGTTCTTCGTTTTAATTATTGTATTGCTTTTAAGTGGGTTTTTTTTTTTTGCACTACAAATAAGATATGTGCAGTGTGCATAGGAATTCATTCATGGTTTTTTTTTTTCAAATTATAATCCAGCCCTCCAACAGTTTGAGGGACTGTGACCTGGCCCTCTGTTTAAAAAGTTTGAGGACCCCATGTGGATATTCCAAACACATTGACTTCAATAACAAACTCTTACAAAGAGAAACATATTGGATCTTCAGATTACAGACAGAATATCCACATGGTTTAAATGAACCAAATCTGTACAGTTGTTATATATAATTCTGGAGCTTTATCCTATTGGTAGCGTTACACTTGTATCTCTGTTTGAGCATGTTGAAGACATCCAGAGCGCCATCTGGTGTCTACATTTTACATTTTTGATTCCAGCAGTTCTACTAAGCTTCTCTATCCCTTTAACATCGCATGTGGTTCCCCCCCCCCCTTTAAATTGGGGGAACTCCCAGACGTTTCCCATACTCGCAATTAGAATCAAACGCATAGCAGAGTCTTGTGAATACACCTATTTTGTGAAATAAGTTTATATTAGAATAAATATTTATTTCTGTATAAGTATCTTTTTAATGTTTACAGTCACATTTTGTTCCTTTGATTTAGATCCCACTAACCTTAAAACCTATATTTCTAAGGGGAACAAGTACCAAGTTTATAACCTTGTAAGTATCTTTAAACATGTTGAAATATATGATGAATAGATGTATTCACAACAAACTTTGATGTATACGATAAGTATCAAGTTCATAACTGTTAGTATTCTTATATGTATCTTTATATTTGGCCTGGAATGAGGCCGACACCGATCGTGGACTACGGATTTATGTTCAACTCTATGCAAGAACATACAGTGTTGATACTTTTTTGAATGACTGTACCAAATGCATATAATATTGTTTTGTGAATGCTATGTTTTGGAACTGTATAAGTTTCACCAGTCACATTACTGGCTGAACTGATTTATTTTTCTTTCTGTGTACAAGTGGGCTATTATGTTGTATGTTACTCTATATCGAGCGTGGTCTAGTCCATGTTACTCTATATGCAATTCCTTGGATTATTGTGGAATGTAAAACTGAACATCTCCTTGTGTAACCCACACCATATGGGAGACAGTGCCCTACTACCAGAGGCCCCTTCTACACTGACATATAAAATCCATATTATCTGCTCTGAACTGGATTATATTGCAGTGTAGACTCATATAATCCAGTTTAAAGCAGATAATGTGGATTATCTATTTTGATAATCTGAATTATATAGCAGCGTAGAAGTGGACCTCAAAACCATTTAGCAACTGGGTGGAGTGTGTACCCAAGCATTGTTCCTCTGCATTTTTACAAGCAGAAAAATATTGCCTTCCTGAGGGAAAGCATATTTGTTTTGTGCTTTCAACTGTGGAACTGGGAGTCAGATTTTGCCCCAGTTCCTGCTATTAAATGGTCATGAGATGCATTATCATGCTAAGAAACTGTTTCTCCCCAAGAGGAAGAGAGGTAACCCAGTGGAACTCCATTAAAAAAATATAGGATCCTGGCTAAATTAAACCTCCCTCTACAACAGTGGTTCTCAACCTGAGGTCCCCAGATGTTTTTGGCCTATAACTCCCAGAAATCCCAGCCAGTTTACCACCTGTTAGGATTTCTGGGAGTTAAAGGCCAAAAATATCTGGGGACCCCAGGTTGAGAACCACTGCTCTACAACAGGCATGGACAAACTTTGGCCCTCCAGGTGTTTTGGACTTCAACTCCTACAATTCCCAACAGCCAGTAAGCTGAAGGGAATTTGGAGGGCTGAAGTTTGCCCAGACCTGCTGTACAACTTGGGGACACATAACATATTCTTCCTTAAGGGGGTAATGGAGTCTCCTTCTCTGGAGGTTTATAAGCAGAGGCTGGATGGCCATCTGTTGAAGCTGTTTTGATTGTGTGTTCCTGAACGGCTGAATGAGGTTGGTCCTTATGGTCTCCACTAACTATATTTTTATGATTCTACATCTACTGTGGACTTCCAGGTGACGCAGGCAGTCAATGAAGCAGGTGGTTTATTGATTCCCTTTTGAATTGCTGTACATAGCCAGTAGCTGCTTCTAGTCTGCTTCAGTAGGTCATACAGAGGGATGCAAGTCTGCAGCAAAGGGAGGATGAGGGTTCACAGAAGAGCAGTAGAAGAAAAAAAAAAGGGGGGGGGGATGGATCACTTGATTCCAAGAAATAAATTAAGAAAATGTAAAACTCCAAATCATAACAATATCACAATGAAAAGCCTGAAGCAGAATTTCTGAAGTTCAAGTATTAAGGTTGCATTAACATTCGAGCAACTGTACATTTAAAGTTTTTTTTTAAAAAAAAATAACAATGATATTCTCAAATAGAATTAAAATTCAGAAGAGAATACCTATATACAAAATTCTTGCTGAGGAAATCCATCTGTTGTACGGTGGAAACATGAACCTTCACTTCTTTATTTCCTGCTGCTTGACTGAGGTAATCCACTGTCCACTTTGTCATGCAAGGACCCAAATCGATTCCTTTTAGCACAGCTGGCTTTCTCTAAGATTTGAAGAAGAAACATAATCAGTGAACAATGTAGCACTATTTAATGCTCTAACAATATACAAGGTAAAAACAGCTATGATAAACCTAAGATTTAATTATGCAATTGGGTGAAAATCTTACGTTTATCATAGCTGTTTTTAACTGTCTCATCACACCAGAGCATGGATCCACTTTAAATCTAGGTTCCACCTCCTGAAGAATTGTGGGGTCTGCAGTTTAGTGAGGCCCAGGAACTGTCTGGCTGAGCAGTTTAAATACCCCCCAACCTACAAGCCCCAGAATTGTACAGGAGGCAGAAACTGGATTGAAAGTGGATCCATGCTCTAGTGTGATGAGACCCATAATAGTCTTTCAAAATCTTTCTCTTTAAGATGCTGTACCAATATGTAACTATCAATATGAGGATCACTCACATTGGCACTTTCAGGACATACCTGCCACCACACTCTGTGGAGGTCATGCAACTGTTGTGATGACCTCTACTTTTACTGGAAAATTAGTTTGAGAGCTTATGCTATGGCGTAGAAAGTAAAAAATCTGATTATGGGCGCTCTCAATAAACAAGACTTTAATTAATGAGAAGGCAAAGCACTGGGTGCCCTTGAGCAGGTCACACTCTCTCAGACTTAGAGGAAGGCAAATGTAAACCCTACTTGGAACAAATCTTGTCCTATGATAGGGTCACCATATATTAGAAATTAGGGGTGTGCAATTTTTCACTAGTGGTGGTAATTCAGATCAAATTTGTTACATTTGACCTGAAGATGGTAGTGCACGCAATTGTGACCTCAAGGCTGGACTTCTGCAATGCACTTTATATTGGACTACCTTTGTACTAAGTTCTGAAACTCCAGCTGGTTCAGATTAGTTAAGAACATCTCAGAGCCCTTCCACACAGCCCTATATCCCAGAATATCAAGGCAAAAAATCCCACATTATCTGAGTGCAGACTCGGATAACCCAGTTCAAGGCAGCTATTGTGGGATTTTCTTGATATTCTGGGATACAGGGCTGTGTGGAAGGGTCCTAAGTGTGAGCATATCACACTTATCCTAAGGTCACTCCATTGCCTGCCAGTTAGTTTCTGATTGTTCTAGAAATCATGAATCCCTGTACAAAGTGTTGATTTTGACCCTTAAAGCCCTACATTGTTTGGGTCCAGGTTACCTATAGAACTGCCTTCTCCTATACACTCTGCCCCGAACACTAAGGTCCTCTGGGGGGCATCTGCTCCAGCCTGCCAGAACCCGACTGGCAACCTCCACTGAAAGGACCTTTTCATCGGCCACCCCATGACTCTGGAATGACCTGCCAGAAGAACTCCGACCACCAAAGGAGCTGTTGGAATTTAAAAACCATCTAAAGATCTATCTTTTCTGGCAGGCCTACCTAGACAATCTTTAAACATTAATTTTAAGTGCTCTTTGATCTTTATTTGGTGTGTTTTAGTATACCTTTTGTAGGCATACTAAATGTTTTGGTGTGTAACTTTTATGGAGGTATATTTTAGGATGTGTATTCGTAGTGGTTTTGCTGTGCTTATGTATTTCAATAGTTTTGTAACCTGACTCAAACCATGAGGAGAGGAAGGTAATAAATAATAATAATTATTATTATTATTATTATTATTATTATTATTATTATTATTATTTATGTCTACTTTAAAGACCTTGAGAAGGAGCTGCTCCTAACAGGGATTCATGATTTCTAGAACTTTGTTGTTGTTTATTCGTTCAGTTGCTTCCGACTCTTTGTGACCTGATCGACCAGCCCAGGCCAGAGTTCTGTCGGCCCCCAGCATCTTCAAGGTCATGCCAGTCACTTCAAGAATACCATCCATCCATCTTGCCCTTGGTCGGCCCTCTTCCTTTTTCCCCAGCATCATTGTCTTCTCCAAGCTCTCTTGTCTTCTCATGATGTGGTCAAAATACTTTATCTAATATCCTTCCTTCCAATGAGCAGTCAGGCATTATTTCCTGAAATATGGACTGGTTGGATCTTCTCACAGTCCAAGGCACTCTCTGAGTTTTCCTCCAGCACCACAGTTCAAAAGTATCTATCTTCCTTCACTCAGCCTTCCCTACGGTCCAGCTCTCACATCCGTAGCTGACTACAGCGAATACCATTGCTTTAACTATGTGAATCTTCGTTGCCAGTGTGATGTCTCCACTCTTCACTATCTTATTGAGAATGGTTATTGCTCTCCTCCCAAGAAGTAGGTGTCTTCTGATTTCCTGGCTGCAGACTGTGTCTGCTGTAATCTTTGCACCTGGAAATGCGAAGTCTGTCACTACCTCCACGTTTTCTACCTGTCTGCCAGTTATCAATCAGTCTGGTTGCCAGAACTTAAAGGCAACTTAAAGAACTTAAAGGCACAATAACTGCATTGTGTTCCCAATTTTGAGGAGAAAGGAGGATATAAACAACTACAAAAATAATGTGTCGTTGAAGGCTTTCATGGCCTTCACTGGGTTGCTGTGAGTTTTCCGGGCTATATGGCCATGTTCCAGAAGCATTCTCTCCTAACAGCTATTCAATGCTAATTAACGTGGCCATTTGCAACATTCACACTTGCCTCAAGCAAGACAAGATTTCTTCCTTCCACCCTGGACATTCCACAGATATATAAACCTCACTTGCCTAGTTTCCAGCAGACCTCACAACCTCTGAGGATGCCTGCCACCAGGCCCGTAGACAAGATTTCAATTCGGGGGGGGGGGGAGTTATTTTCGGGGGGGGGGCTAAATCTGAGTGAAAGAGGGTCTACCCTAGCAAACCTTTTATATCGTTACCCCAAAACCCCCATGCATATGAGATATATTGAGCATGGTGATCAGATCATGATATGAATAAACATACGGGTTAAAGCACTGAGCTGCTGAGCTTGTTGATCGAAAGGTCGCAGGTTCGATTCCGGGGAGCAGCGTGAGCTTCCGCTGTCAGCCCTAGCTTCTGCCAACCTAGCAGTTCGAAAACATGCAAATGTGAGTAGATCAATTGGTACCGCTCCGGTGGGAAGGTAACAGTGCCCCATGCAGTCATGCCGGCCACATGACCTTGGAGGTGTCTACGGACAACGCTGGCTCTTCGGCTTAGAAATGGAGATGAGCACCAAGCCCCAGAGTCAGACATGACTGGACTTAATGTCAGGGGACCTTTACCTTTTACCTAAGGCCTTTTCGCGAACCACCATGAGAATTTCGAGGGGGGGGCTGAAGTCCTCCCCCCCCCCCCCCCCCCCCCCCCCCCCCCGGCTACATGCCTGCCTGCCACAGATGTGGGTGAAACGTCACGAGAGAATGCTTCTGAAACGTGGCCAGGCAGCCCGGAAAACTTGCAGCAACCCTGGCAAGAATAATAATATCACCTACTAGAGGGTAGATGTCCTGGAGGAAGCGCTCCCGAGTGAGCCCGGCGTGCTCCTCTAAAGGGAGGACGGGTTGTTCCTCCATCGCTCAGAGCCAAGCCTTCCTTTTCCATGCTTTCCTGAAGCGTGCCACTTTCCATTTCTTCCCCCGGCAACGAAAACTCGCTGAGGAAGCGGCCGGCCTGCACGAGCAGAGAGAAGAACCGCGGAGGCGGAAGGAGTGAAGAGTCTCCGACTCTTCATGATCTCACGGACCAGCCCACGCCAGAGCTTCCTGTCGGCCGTCACCACCCCCAGCTCCTTCAAGGCCAGTCCAGTCACTTCAAGGATGCCATCCATCCATCTTGCCCTTGGTCGGCCCCTCTTCCTTTTACCTTCCATTTTCCCCAGCATCATTGTTTTCTCTAGGCTTTGCTGTCTCCTCATTATGTGGCCAAAGTACTTCAACTTTGTCTCTAGTATCCTTCCCTCCAATGAGCAGCCGGGCTTTATTTCCTGGAGGATGGACTGGTTGGATCTTCTCGCAGTCCAAGGCACTCTGAGAACTTTCCTCCAGCACCACAGCTCAAAAGCATCTCTCTTCCTTCGCTCAGTCTTCCCTAAGGTCCAGCTCTCACATCCGTAGGTGACTACGGGGAATACCATGGCTTTGACTAGGCGGATCTTTGTTGCCAGCGTGGTGTCTCTACTCTTCACTATTTTATTGAGACGGGACATTGCTCTCTTCCCAAGAAGTAAGCGTCTTCTGATTTCCTGGCCACAGTCTGCATCTGCAGTAATCTTTGCACCTAGAAATACAAAGTCTGTCACGGCCTCCACGTTTTCTCCCTCTATTTGGAGGGAGTCAGGCCTTCGATGAATGAGACAACACCATAGGACCCTGGATGGAAGTTGATGTAGATCCATCTTAATAGGACGACTGACCACTGTAGTTTTATATATAGTGTTTTTAAAGTTGTTTTTGTAATTGTGATATATGATATTTTAATGAGTGTATATGTTTTTTATGGCTGGAAACCGGGCTGAGTCCCTCAATGAGGTTGAGAAGCTCAGTAAAGAAAACTGTGAAATAAATAAATAAATATTTTCCAGTTGTCAATCATTCTTGTTGCCATGATCTTGGTTTTTTTGACGTTTAGCTGCAACCCGGCTTTTGCGCTTTCTTCTTTTACCTTGATTAGAAGGCTCCTCAGCTCCTCCTCGCTTTCGGCCATCAGAGTGGTGTCATCTGCATATCTGAGGTTGTTAATGTTTCTTCCAGCAATTTTCACCCCAGCTTTGCATTCATCAAGCCCTGTACATCGCATGATGTGTTCTGCATACAAGTTAAAGAGGTTGGGTGAGAGGATGCAGCCTTCTCGTACGCCTTTCCCAATCTTGAACCAGTCTGTTGTTCCGTGGTCAGTTCTGACTGTTGCTACTTGGTCCTTGTACAGATTCCTCAGGAGAGAGACAAGGTGGCTTGGGATGCCCAGGGGCGGCTCAACCCATTACGCAAAGTAAGCATTTGCAGTATAGTTGATTTAGCCCAGGGGCGCTCTTGAGGCGCTCTTGGGGGAAAATAGACCTTGACATATGCGAGTTGTAGTTACTGGGATGTATAGTTCACCTACAATCAAAGAGCATTCTGAACTCCACCAATGATGGAATTGAACCAAATATGGCACACAGAACTCCCACGATGAACAGAAAATATATATCAGTGATTGGTTGTGGGGGGCACCAAAATACTGTTTGCTTACCATTGAAAATTACTTAGGGCCACCTCTGGGTATGCCCATCCCACCAAGAACTTGCCACAATTTATTATGATCCTCCTAATCTACCCTAGCCTAAAAGTTCCGCTCTGGTTCAAAAGAGGCGGGGGAATGTTCCGAAAGCGGAACCTTAGGGGCGGCTCCCTTGTTCCCAACCGGACCTCTTTCGGCAACGCTCGCGGAGGGCGCAATGGCGGCGCTGTTGCCGGTGCTGCCGCGGGGCCTCTATTGCCAGCGCTGCCGTGGCCTCTTATCATCTGCCGCCTTCCCGCGCCGCTCCGTCGTGCTTTTGGCGGCTCCTTCTCCTCAGGCCAAGCCTCCGACGGGCCTTCCTTCGCTGAGGCTGGTGGCGCCGCCGCCTCCGCTCGCCCCTCCTTCCTCGCGGCCTTTCAGCAGCGACTCCGGGCGGCAGCGGCGGAGAAAGAGGGCCGTGGTGGTGGTGGGGGTGCCCAACCCGCTCATGTGGCTCCGCACACGACTCTACTTCTTCCTCATCCGCGCCTACTTCGACCAGGAGTTCAGCATCCGCGAGTTCACGGAGGGCGCCAAGCAGGTGAGGCTGGGAGGAGGAGAAGAAGAGGCCTTTCCCACGGCCACACAGGCTGGAAGGAAGAGTATGCGGGAGAAAATGCTGGCCTTCCACACTGCCATATAACCTCCAGGTGATCTGCTTTGAACTGGATCATATGGCAGGGTAGGGCCCTTCCACACAGCCCTCTATCCCAGAATATCAAGGCAGGAAAACCCACATTATCTGAGTGTGATACCCCAGTTCAAAGCCAATATTGTGGGATTTTCTGCCTTGATAATCTGGGATAGAGGGCTGTATGGAAGGGCCCTGGGTTACCCGAGGGCCCTTCCATAGCCCTCTATCCCAGAATATCAAAGCAGGAAATCCCACATTATCTGAGTGTGATACCCCAGTTCAAAGCCAATATTGTGGGATTTTTCTGCCTTGATAATCTGGGATAGAGGGCTGTATGGAAGGGCCCTGGGTTACCCGAGGGCCCTTCCACATAGCCATATAACCCAGAATATCAAGGCAGAAAATCCCACATTATCTGAGTGTGGACTGATAACCCAGTTCAAAGCATATTATGGGATTTTTCTGCCTTGATAATCTGGGATAGAGGGCTGTATGGAAGGGCCCTGGGTTACCCGAGGGCCCTTCCATAGCCCTCTATCCCAGAATATCAAAGCAGGAAATCCCACATTATCTGAGTGTGATACCCCAGTTCAAAGCAACTATTGTGGGATTTTCTGCCTTGATATTCTGGGATAGAGGGCTGTGTGGAAGGGCCCAGGGTCTCTCTTAACCTATAATATCAAGGTAGGAAATCCCACATTATCTGAGTGTGATACCCCAGTTCAAAGCAACTATTGTGGGATTTTCTGCCTTGATATTCTGGGATAGAGGGCTGTGTGGAAGGGCCCATAGACTCAAATAATCCATTTCAAAGAAGATCATTCCTCGGGGAAATTAGATCATCGACATCCCTCCTTTCCTTTAGAAGGAAATTAAAAATGTGGATTTGGGACCAGGCGTTTGGGCAATCTGGCAGATAAATAAAGGACAACGACGACTGATAGGAATGGACAATGTGGAATGAATTTATGGACTCTGAGCTGGCAAACGTTGAGCATGAGATTGATATTATTGACTGTTATATATAATTGATTGTTTTTAACTGTTATAACTGTTTTAACTGCTGTTTATATACGTTTATCTGTATTATTGTGTAGGCATCGAATTGTGCCTTTTGTAAGCCGCCCTGAATCCCCCCTCGGGGGTTGAGAAGGGGGGTAGAAATACATGAAATAAATAAAATTATGTGGATTATCTGCTTCGATAAATCTGGATTATGTGGTAATGTAGAAAGGGCCTGAGACAAGAGGGAGAAGGAATTGGAAAAGGATTTAAAATCCCCTCTATCTGCCTGTATGAAATCCACATTGAATTGGGATATATGGCAGTGTGGACGCAGATAACCCAGGGCCCTTCCACACAGCCCTCTATCCCAGAATATCAAGGCAGGAAATCCCACAATATCTGAGTGTGGACTCAGATACCGCAGTTCAAAGCACATATTGTGGGATTTTCTGCCCTGATATTCTGGGATATAAGGTTATGTGGAAGGGCCCGTAGACTCAAATAATCCAGTTCAAAGAAGATCATGTGGATAATCTGCTTCAGTAAATCTGGATTATATAGTAGTGTATTTATTTTTATTTATCGTGTCAGGAGCAGACCAAAACAGTTGCATTGTATTTTTTAACAAACAAAACACAAAGTTTGCAAGCTTGGTGGTTGATTAAATGTCCTTTGACCAGTATCTGGCCACTTGGAGTGCCTCTGGTGTTGCTGCAAGGAGGTCCTCCATTGTCTATGTGGCAGGGCTCAGGTTGCATTGCAGCAGGTGGTCTGTAGTTTGCTCTTCTCCACTCATGTTGTGGATCCCATTTCTTAAGGTTGGCTCTGCATCTCGTGGTGCCAGAGCGCAGTCTGTTCAGCGCCTTCCAAGTCGCCCAGTTTTCTGTGTGCCCAGGGGGGAGTCTCTCATCTGGTATCAGCCATTGATTGAGGTGCTGGGTTTGAGCCTGCCACTTTTGGACTCTCGCTTGCTGAGGTGTTCTAGCGAGTGTCTCTGTAGATCTTAGAAAACTATATTCTTGATTTAAGTCGTTGACGTGCTGGATGATAGCCAAACAAGGGATGAGCTGGAGACGTCACTGCCTTGGTCCTTTCACTATTGGCTGCTACTTCCCGGCGGATGTCAGGTTGTGCAATACCGGCTAAACACTGTAATTTCTCCAGTGGTGTAGGCCGCAGACACCCCGTGATAATGCGGCATGTCTCATTAAGAGCCACAACCACTGTTTTAGTGTGGTGAGATGTGTAGATGTGTGAGATGGTAGTGTAGAAAGGGCCTGGACAATAGGGAGAAGGAATTGGAAAAGGATTTAAAATCCCCTCTACCAGCCTGTATGAAATCCACACTGAACTGGGATGTGTGGCAGTGTGGACACAGACAACCCAGGGCCTTTCCACACAGCCCAGAATATCAAGGCAGAAAATCCCACATTATCTGAGTGTGGACTCAGATAACCCAGTTCAAAGCAGATATTTGTGGGATTTTCTGCCTTCTATGCCTGTGGAAGGGCTCTTAGACACAAGAAGCACAGCATGATCCATGGGCCCCTTCTACACTGCCATATAATCCAGAGTATCAAATCTACATTATCTGATATGAACAGGATTATATGAGTCCACACTGCTATATAATCCAGTTCAAAAGCAGATGTAGAAGGGGCCAAAGTCCCAGATGCCAGAGACAAGCAATGATAAGGGAGTGTTGCATCCTTGCCAGTGTGAGACCTTCCCTGCCATTAGGTACAGAGTAGAGAATTAGCTACGTTTATTGAACAGTAATAATTTGCCCTTGCAGTGATACAAAGGGCATAATGACGAGAGATACTGCATCTATTCTATTTCTGACTGCTGTGAAAAATATGAGAGGCCAGTTATGAGTGCACATTTGTGACTTGGAATGCTTTCTATATCTGTTCCATTCATTGGATTAGACAAAAAACCCAGCCCCTTCTTCTTCTTTTGCCCTTTGTGTTGTGACCCCCTGTCTTTCTTTACCAACTGACACAAGTAGTGTCATGTTACGTTTCAGCCTGCCAAACGTTCAAGAAGTATCATGCTTTTAAGTGAACCCAGAGCCACGAATACCTGAGTAAATAGTTTTTTGTTTGTCTTCTAGGCCTTTGCTCATGTTTCAAGACTAATTGCTCAATGTAAATATGACCTTCTGGAGGAGCTTGTCTCAAAAGAGGTAACTGCAATTCCACCCTTATCTTCATTATCTGTTGTTATGATGCAAGCAAAATCTTCCCATTGTCTCCTAATCTGATAATTCCTTAGAAAGGACAAAATGAGCTTCTTCAAGATAGAAGAAATGGTTTGTGTCATTTTTACACTTTTTTGGTGCATAGATGACCCTCGAGGCGCTTTCTAAACATGAGTCACTCCCCACTTACCTATCTTGTATTGTGGAAGGTGTTGGAAGAGCAAAGCAGATATTTCACCTTTGGAGGTTATCATATTCTACTTATCTTTGTCTTATTCTTCATCCTTCCTGAAAGATGGAGTCACTGGAGAACCTCTGCAGTCCAGATTGGGGACTAAGGTTGGATTTACACTTCCATATAATGTGGGATCAGATCCTGGGGTGTAGGGCAGTGTAGAGCGGGGTTTAAGATGGGCAAGATATGGTTGGGGATTTTTGTTTGCTGACCAAAACTGAGTCTGCGGAGTGGCAACAGTCTCTGAGATCCTGCATCGTTAGAGTCTTTATAACTCCAAATGATTGTGTCCCCTCACATTACCTGTGCAATCTGACAAAGCCCCAACTGAGATATTTTTGAAGTGCCAGGGATCAAGGCAGGGTGTTTGAGAACAGGCAACTTGAGAGATCCCCTGTGGTCCTATCACAACTGCTTGTCCCAAGGCACATTGAAACTAAAGAATATGTTGGCGATATCATTCCCAAGTGATCTGGTCCCTCAGAAATGCTTTGGTCAAATAGGTTTTGGGGGTTGTGTTTGGTTGTTCATGACCATAAATGTAAATAGTTGTTATTCATTCATTTTACAGTGTTTCAACTACTGTAATGGAGTTGCAAAGACAACAAGCTGTAGGTTATCTTCTCTTGTCTAGAATACTGTTTGTAGCCTAGTTGCTGCCACGTTTTACTGTTTTGTTCTGAAGTAACAGCACCACCACCATAGCCACACACATATTACAACTTGGCTCTCTCAGTTCTGCTACCATTTTGAGGGACAAAACATGATTAAAGTTAGGGCTTCCCAAGACACAGTACCAGAATGGCTTTTGGTGGTAAAAAAAAACTTGATTAGCACGTAATAGTATTAAAAATAGTACTTATGAGAATATGCAGTTTGCTTTTCCTCATCAGTGAACAATGAGGCTTGGCTTCAGCTTTTTGAAGCAAGAGTTCCTACGATGGAGTCTGCAGTTCTTAGTTGAGGAGAACCCTGAAACTTTTCAGTCAAGCACAGTACAAACAAAATAGGGAAGCAAAAACAGAATGGAGCAACAAGAAATTGGTCCTCCTTGCCCTCCAGAGATCTGATACCAAAGCCCACTTATATATTAAAAAGTCCTCCTACACATAACACAATGGCAGTGAATTATCTCAGTTTGATGTGTTGTCGAAGGCTTTCAAGGCCAGAATCACTGGGTTGCTGTGAGTTTTCCTGGCTATGTGGCCATGTTCCAGAAGCATTCTTTCCTGATGTTTTGCCCACATCTACGGTAGGCATCTTCAGAGATTGTGTGGTCTGTTGGAAACTAGTCAAGTGAGGTTTATATATCTGTGGAATGTCCCGGGTGGGAGAAAGAACTCTTGTCTGTTTGAGACAAGTGTGAATGTTGCAGTTGGCTACCTTGATTAGCATTAAATGGCCTTGAAGCTTCAAAGCCTGGCTGCTTCCTGCCTGGGGAAATCCTTTGTAGGGAGGTGTTCGCTGGCCTTGATTGTTTCCTGCCTGTAATTCTTTTTTTTTTTTTTAGTGTTGCTCTTTATTTACTGTCCTGATTTTATAGTTTTTAAATACTGGTAGCCAGATTTTATTCATGGTTTCCTCCTTTCTGTTGAAATTGTCCACATGTTTGTAGATTTCAATAGCTTCTCTGTATAGTCTAACATGGTGGTTTAACTTAATTTACCAATAATATTGTTCAAGTCAGAATTTTCACAAATATGACCATTAACAATTACAGCACGTACGTGACAATGGTAATAAGAAATGTATGGGAAGCAAGAGGACTAAGTTGTATCTTTGATTTTTGATTTTTTTAAAAAAATATTGAGATGGTAGGGGAAAGTTACAAAATTCTAGAGTTGGAAAAGAGTATAAGGTACGTCCGGATCAACCTGCAATGCAGGAATACACGAACAAAGCACTCCTGACAGATGGCCGTCTAGCCTCTGTTTAAAAATCTTCAGATAAGGAGACTCCACCAGCCCATTCCAATATCAAGCAGATCATACCATCAAGAAGTTCTTCCTAATGTTTAGGTGGACTTCCTTTTCCTTGAATCCACTTCCTTGAATCCATTCCTTTGTGTCTTAGTCTCTGAAACAGCAGAAAACAGACGTTTCTCTCTCTTCACTATGGCATCCTAGTTAATACTAGGATGGGGAAATGATTATTGCTGTAAGCCATATTTCTAAGGAAGGCAATGGCAAGCCAAATCTTAAGTATTCCTTGCCTAAGAAAAACTCTGTGAAATTCATAGGGTTTCCGCAAGTCAACAGGGGGCTTGCAAGGGAAGTGGAAAGCACCACAAATACTTCTATAGCTGTCTTACACTGGCATTAAACAGGCTTCGTGCGGGACTAATATTGTGTCCAATTTTGGGCACCACAATTCAAGAGAGATATTGACAAGCTGGAATGTGCCCAGAGGAGGGCGACTAAAATTATCAAGGGTCTGGAGAACAAGCCCTATGAGGAGCGGCTTGAGCTGGGCATGTTTAGCCTGAAGAAGAGAAGACTGAGAGGAGATATGATAGCCATGTATAAATATGTGAGAGGAAGCCACAGGGAGGAGGGAGCAAGCTTGTTTTCTGCTTCTCTGGAGACCAGGACCCGAAACAATGGCTTCAAACTACAAGCAAGGAGATTCCATCTGAACATGAGGAAGAACTTCCTGACTGTGAGAGCCATTCAGCAGTGGAACTCTCTGCCCTGGAGTGTGGTGGAGGCTCGTCCTTTGGAAGCTTTTAAACAGGGGCTGGATAGCCATCTGTCAGGGGTGATTTGAATGCAATATTCCTGCTTCTTGGCAGGGGATTGGACTGGATGGCCCATGAGGTCTCTTCCAACTTTGATTCTATGGTTCTATAATGTTAATTATTCTTTGCTTACATCAGATGGTACAGATACTGAAGGAAAAGCTTTCTTCACTGTCTGAAAATCACAGAAGTGCCCTTGCTGCTGATGTGGATGAAATTATGTACACAACCGCTGGAGATGTTGGCATTTACTACGATGATAGTGGTATGCATTCATTTCATAATACATTCCTTAAGTCCTTTGAGTGCTGTTGCAGTAGCTGATACCTTACTCTTTTTCAACACCATTTTCAAGTACCCTTCTCTTCCATTCAATTCCACTGTTAACGATACTGACTTGCCCTCTTTGTTGCTTGCCTACTGTTCACCACTTAGTATATCCTTGCCACATTATCCACATTGCATCAGTAAAGCAAAGTCAGATGCCGTTGTATGAAGAGGAAGGCAATCTATGGCAGAAAAAGTATTTAAGTTCTGCTTCCACCATGTTACCATGTTTGGAGATTTAATTGTGGAGCACATTGTTCCCAAATTCCAGGCTTAGTCCTAGTATCTTCAGTTAATGGAGTTGGGGCAAGAGAGCAAAAAGAAGCCGCTGTTTAATTTAATCAGCTGGTGATGAAAACTGTAGCTCTTTAATGAGTATTGTTGGCCTAGAAACACTAATGGCCTGACTCGGTAAAAGGAAACCCCACCACTGCATTTTTTTCTCTCTTTGAAGATAACCAGTATAAGGAGATTTGGCATTTCTAACAATTTTACCACACATAATTTGAGCTGGAAAATAATAAGAATTTCATTTTAACTCCAATTCAAATATAAGCCATGGGCTCATCATAACTGAATATATATTTGCATTTGTCACTTCAGAGGAAAACAATAGCAAACAATAGCAAACACCCTCTGAGCCCCCGGTGGCGCAGTGGGTTAAACCTCTGTGCCGGCAGGACTGAAGACCAACAGATTGCAGGTTTGAATCCAGGGAGAGGCGGATGAGCTCCCTCTATCAGCTCCAGCTCCTCATGCGGGGACATGAGAGAACCCTCCCACAAGGATGATAAAACATCAAAAAATCATCTGGGCGTCCCCTGGGCAGCCTCCTTGCAAACTGCCAATTCTCTCACACCAGAAGCGACTTGCAGTTTCTCAGGTCGCTCCTGTCACGACAAAAAAAACAAAACCCTCTGAACAAATCTTACCAAGAAAAGCTGTAGGTCAGAAACAACACAAAGATATATAACAATAGCAGCAAACCCAAGAATATGAGACACTGTAAGTGTTAAGGCCATTTCAAACAAGGGTAGGAAGTGTGTGACTCTCAGGATGTAGCTAGTTAATAACCTCTATCATCTCTCGCCTTTGGTTTTAATGGCTAATGGGGTAGCAGTCCAAAAACATCTGGAAAGCCCAATGTTCTCCTGTCTTGATTTAAAGCAGTGAGTGTCAGGAAAGATAGGTCGCCTTGCCATCGTGCTCAAGAGAGGGAAGGGAGGTAGCAGCCAACAGACCCATTCATGAGCCCACGAGCCTATGAGCCCACGAGGACCTTGAGATCGTCTGGGGAGGCCCTTCTCTCGATCCCGCCTGCTTCACAGGCACGTCTGGCGGGGACGAGAGAAAGGGCCTTCTCGGTGGTGGCCCCCCGGCTGTGGAACGACCTCCCTGCTGACATCAGACAGGCGCCCTCCCTTCTGTCCTTCCGTAAGAGCCTGAAGACCTGGCTATTTGAGAAGGCATTCAACTGAGCGCTACGGCAACTGGTAATTGACAACTGGAACGGAATATGGATTACGATATTGGTTATGATTCTATGATGTGACGGAGCGGATTATTTAGTGTAACTAGATTATAGTGTATTATTGTTGTATTGATTTCCTGTTTTGCCCTTTTGTAAACTGTTTTTATATGTTGTGCACCGCCGCGAGTCGCCCTAGGGCTGAGAGCAGCGGTCAATAAATGCAGTAAATAAATAAATAAATAAATGAGTATTCTCACCTTATTTCTAAGTAAAGGCTTACTCAAGAGCAAAGAAATGGGGCTCATGCAAGTATGAGACTAATGCTCATTTCTGGAGCCCAAGAGCATGTTCTTCACCATTGACTTTGTAGGCAGGAACTACTGAGAGTTGCAGTTCAACATATGGAGCATTGCATAGTTCTCCTCACTGGAGTTCAAAAACTATTGGGTACCATTGTAGAGTTGCATGTAAAAGGCCAGGGAAGAAAGTCTGTGGGTTTCTGACAGTTATAAGAAAAACCTAACTTATACTGAGTCCACCTAGCTCTGTATTGTCAACATTGACTGACCATGATTCTCTTTTTTCCTAACATTATGCGGAAATCTCTGGTATCCCTGGTGGTCTATAGTCCACCTATAAACCAGGCTCAATCCTACTTAGCTTTTGAAACCTGGAGAGGTTTGGTGGTGGAATACTGGAGGAATTATATGGCAATGATGTCCTATCAAAGGGGCTGGTGGTGCATAATGCCACCTTCCTTCCAGTGGCTTTTGCATGCAGTAGCATGGCTGTGACTGTCTCATAAATCAGATACTGCAATATGGATGTGTTTAAACAAGGCACCTCTGTCCTATACGTCTTTATGCTAATCTGTATGCTTCAGTTTATACATTATCTTTTTGGCTTCAAATATCACTGTTATTATGTGAACAGGAAGAAAGTTTGTCAGCATCCTGATGCGCTTCTGGTACCTAACTAGTGCTGACCTCCCTGACGAGACTCCTGATGGAACTAAGGTATTTCAAGTTGTCTTTGGAGATGAAACATCAAAGGAAACAAAGCGTCTTTTAACAGCAAATTATGAGTAAGTCTGCCACTTTTCTTTTCCCTACATGATGATGATTTTGTACTTGGAAACCATCCTAAGTCCCTTCAGGGAGATAAGGCGGCCATATGCTCTCACCAAAAATTTAAAAAATGCCCCCCGAATGCCCCAACTCATTATTTCTAGAGGGTACAGAGGACATTTTCACACAGAAAGCCATTTTTAATAATAGGAAGTAAGTTCCTGTTTGGCCATGTCATTTCCTGTTTAGTTCCCTTTGAGGCTACAAAAAAGACCAGTGGCCGAAAAGCCACACTTTCCCCCCTCCTGATATAAACAAATTGGAAGGATTATTAGAGTTAATATAACTATTTGATATTCTCTTTCCCTTGCTTCAAAGAGTCCAAGTATAGCTTCCCATACTACTGTTAGTTGGAAAGCTTGCTTGAGCCATCTGGGTCAATTCAATTTGTTCAACTTGCTCTTGTTAGTACTAGCAAAATTCAATTTAGGCCAGTGTCTGAAAATGTTATTTTTATCCCAAATGATACCAATAATAAGAACAGATTATTATTTCAAAGAGTGGAAGAAAGACATTTTAAAATGTATATGGGAAGAAAAGAAAGCAAGGATCAAACATCAAGTATTAATAGATTCCAGGAAAAGAGGTGGACTAGCCCTGTCTGACTTACAAACATACTCGGAAGCATGCGCACTGACCTGGGTAAAAGAGTGGGCTACTCTTACCAAGAAGGAAATTCTCAGCCTGGAAGGTGTGGACCTACGCCGTGGTTGGCATGGGTATCTCTGGTACCATAAAGTAAAAGTTGAAAAAAAAATCTTGAACCATTTCTTAAGGGCAGCCTTACTAAAGGTGTGGGAGAAATACAGAGACAGACTATACTCCAAAACTCCCCTTTGGCTTTCCCCAGCTGAAACCTATCATAAAAGAGAGATCCCGCTGGAGAAATGGTACAACTACAAACTTCTATTGACTAAAAAGAACAACAGCTGGTCACTAAAATCTTTAGAAGAATTAAGGGCAGCAGGAAATGATCTGTCCTGGTTCCAATACCTACAAATTAAGGAAAGTTATAAGAAAGACATTAAACATGATTTTGTCTCGCAAGAAAAAAAATGGCATGTGATCATGAAAAGGGGGAAAAAATAGTAAAAATGCTATTCCAAAAACTTATAGAATGGAAGACAGAAACAGAACTGGTGAAAGAAAACATGATCAAATGGGCAGTGGACATTGGCCATTCCATCGCACTGGAAGATTGGGAGAAAATATGGAATGCGGAATTGAAATATTAAAGATCGATGATCATTAGAGAAAGGTTTTTTAACGTTGCTATTTAACACCCCAGAAAATAGCGAGGCACTATAAGAACAATGATAACAAATGTTGGAAGTGTAGAGAAGATTTGGGGACCTTCTTCCACTCCTGGTGGAGCTGTAAGAAAATAAAGGATTTCTGGAAAAAAATTATTGAACAGACGCAAAAAATACTAAAAGTGGCATTTGAATTAAAGCCGGAATATTATTTATTAAATTTGGTGGACTTTGATATAGATAAGAATAAGGATATATATATTTTTTTTACATGACTACAGCGGCAAGAACAGTAATTGGCCAGAAATGGCACCTGAGAGAAATTCCAACCATAGAATCCTGGCTGGTAAAATTATTAGATTATAAAGACATGGACTCTCTAACATTCTTACTAAAAGACACAAAAATAGATCTAAGACAGACTGGACACCTCTTATAACTCATCTACAGGAAAACCTATCAAAGTGCTACTATCAAGTAGAATAGGAGGAGGAAGAAGTGAAATTACAAGGATAGAAAAAGAGAAAGAAAAGAAGGCAAAAATACAACACCTCAGACATAAGATTTAATACAAGAAAAGCAGCAAGAAGTTGGAAGATAAATAGAATACTATATTAAAAAGAAAACAAGCTTCCTGTGGAATGGACTGAAAGCACACCCTCCCCGATCCCATACCCCTCCCTACCCTACTCGACCCATCCCTGTTTTTTTCCCTTTCACTCTTCTTTCTTCCCTCCCCCCCCCCTTCCCTAGTTCTACCCATACCACCCATTTGGGTTGTTTTATGTATGATGGTTTTTATTTATTTTATTTATCGTGTCAGGAGCAACCAGACAGTTGTTTTACATTTTTAACAAAACAAACAAACAGACAAAACACAAAGTTTGCAAGCTTGGTAGTTGATTAAATGTCCTTTGACCAGTATCTGGCCACTTGGAGTGCCTCTGGTGTTGCCGCAAGAAGGTCCTCCATTGTGCATGTGGCAGGGCTCAGGTTGCATTGCAGCAGGTGGTCAGTGGTTTGGGTAGTAAGGCACCTAGAGCTTCAGAGAGCTTCTGTTCAACCATCTCAAAGCTCCCTGCTTGAGCAGTAATGGCACGATCATCAGCATAGATGAAGCTCTCTGTCCCTTCTGGCAGTGGCTGGTCATTTGTGTAAATGTTGAACATGGATGGAGCAAGCACGCTTCCCTGAGGCAGGCCATTCTTCTGTTTCTGCCATCTGCTTCTCTGGCCCTGGAACTCAACAAAAAATCTCCTGTTTTGTAGCAGGTTTCCTATGAGGTGGGTAAGGTGGTAGTCCTTTGTGATATTATACATTTTTCTCAGGAGGAGGCGGTGGTTCACAGTATAAGCTTCTGACAGGTCTATGAAGACAGCTCCTGTGATCTGCTGCCTTTCAAAGCCATCTTCTATGTGTTGAGTCAGGTTCAGCACTTGTGATGTGCAGCTTTTGCCTTTCCTGAAGCCAGCTTGCTGTGGAATCAGAGATGGGTCTATTTTTTCCACAATTCTATTTTTTCCACAATTCCAGAAGCGACCAGATGTATGATAGTAAAATAGTTGAAATAAAGATCATTAGAAAAAAATCTGCTAACAGCGATAGTGGTTCAAAATAAAGACATTTTTCTTCTTTTCTGCTTTAGTTCAATATCAGTGCTATAGAATGCTTTACAGTGTAGTTTATGTTATGGGCTCTTCATTTTGTCCCCTCTTTCCTCCCCAGATTCCGAAGAGAATTTACACAAGGTGTGAAACCCGACTGGACTATTACCCGAATTGAACATCCAAAGCTATTAGAATAAGTTCACTGGACACAGACTTACCCAGAAAACTATCAGCAAACTGGCATATCAACAGACATCTCAGCAAGTGTGTTCCACAGTTTCTTGTGGAGAACTTTTGTACTTTTTGATTACCTTAACACAGTCTTGCCCCCAACGCATAAAATAAATATTTTATCACCAGACCTAGAAATCTCAGAAACCTGTTCTTGATCTGCCACTGGACTTATTCGACCATGTCTGCCTTCAGTGCTGTGAAATCTTGGGATGAATTTGAAAGAAAATACGTGTTGGCTAGATGTTCATGTTGAAATGCCACATCTTTTCCCAAGTAAATATTCAAAAATGGACATGGGAAGCCTTGGAAAAATCAATAGGAAACCATGATCATTCCAAACGCTGTACTTCCATTTTCCATGAAATATCTGGGATTTTTAAAAAATCTTCATTATAGGAACAGAACTGTGAGAAATAATTTGAAGTTTATCTCTTCACTCCTTTCTTATCTCCACTCTTCTATTACAAGAGAAAATATCATTCAATAGACTGAATTTATATGAAATATAACTATGAGGAATTAAGTCAACCACTTTTTCTTTGCATCTGGTAAGTGGAGGAAAACATAAGCTACTACGGACTGATTCAGATAAGTGGCTCATGGAGTAGTGTGGCTGCTGGAGGATCTAAAGAGCTATGTTGTGAAGCCTTTGTTAGCTCAGTTGGCCCAGGAGGGCAAAGGAGGATTAATTCATGCAAAGATTTCCCGGCCTGGTCCTAGAAAAAGTTGGAAAATTGCATCTTTTTGAGCTTTTAATTGTACATGGAATATTGTCATTTATCCACACTTGTAAGCACCAGCTTTGGAAAAATATGTGGAGATGCCACCAAAGGACCAATAATATGAGAATATTACACTCCACTTTTACATGTGAAAGCTTTTCAGAGTACTGTTAGTTATTTATATTGTGCCTTCTAGTACATTATGCTTCATAATGGTTATGGCAAGTCTCTAAACTTGGAAACAATAGAAGGTGGAAAAGGAGGCATGTCTAAGCACAGCAGTAGCTAGAAAAGCATGATTAAATGGGACTTTTTTTACCGCTCCAAGTTTGTTTGTTTTTTTCGTGTCAGGAGCAACTTGAGAAATTGCAAGTTGCTACCTCTCAAGTGAAACACTTGGAATAAACCTTGAAAAGAAATATAAATGTGAATTTTAGTCATTGGTAAGAGAGCTTATGTGGTTTCAGTGTTGTGCTATGACTGGGTTCAAGATGAAGGTACACAGTAACAACAAACAAAATTCGTTAGCAACAGAGGGGTTTAAATTTCCTAGCTTTTTTAAACATACATTGAATTGTCTTACTTCACGGGATTATTGTAAAGAATTGAAAGAATGGGGTACTGGGAGTGAGAAGAGAAGCAAACCTTCTGCTCTTTTTGCAGTGTTTAACACTGAAGTGAGAAAATCTTTTTGGCAAAAAGTTAAACATTTTAAAGCTCCCTTTCTAGGACTCCAAAATGCTTACTTGAAAAATTTTGTACCATACCTAAAAAATTTTAAAACTGTAAAAAGTAAATAAAATACATGTTGGAATGCCAGTATTAGAGATGAAAGAGCAGGTATTTTAACAGTGTGCACTGTCATTTCCCTTTAGAAATAATTAATTTCCAGCTAGGTTGCTGTGAGTTTTCCGGGCTGTATGGCCACATTCCCGAAGCATTCTCTCCTGACATTTCACCCACATCTATGGCAGACATCCAGAAAGGTTGTGAGGTCTGTTGGAAACTAGGTAAGTGAGGTTTATATATTTGTGGAATGTCCAGGGTGGAATAAAAAACTCTTGTTTTAATATTTTAAAAACTCTAAAATCTGGACAGTAAATAAAAGAACAACACTCAGAAAACTGCGGAATTCCAGACATGAAATAATCAGGGCCAACTAACACCTCCCAACAAAGGATTTCCCGAGGCAGTAAGAAGCCAGAGCTAGAAGCTGCAAGCCCATTCAGTGCTAATCACGGTGGCCAATTGCAACATTCACACTTGCCTCAAATAGATAAGAGTTCTTTCTCCCACGCTGGACATTCGACAGATAAATAAACCTCACTTGCCTAGTTTACAACAGACCTCACAACCTCTCTGGATGCCTGCCATAGATGTGGGTGAAACATCAGGAGAGAATGCTTCTGGAACGTGGCCATACAGCCCGGAAAACTCACAACAACCTAGCTGGGAATTAATTATTGCCTGCCATGGATGTGGGTAGAATGTCAGGAGATAGGAAAGCCTTTGACAACACTGTATCTTCCTTCTTTGCACTTCTCTTCTGTGAACATTAGGTGGGAGTATTTTTCTACAGCTACAACACAGTTACTTGGAGTGACCAATGCATTTCTCCCTGTAACTTGAAACCTCAAGGGCTGCTGCTTCCAACAGCTTCATCTTCCCAATGAATTCCACCTTCTGATGGCCACCAGTGGGCCTTCTCATCCCATATTCCTTCTGTATTTTCAGCTTTATCAATGCCTCCAGAAGGATTAAGGCTTTAAATATTTTTTAAAAACAAAGTATTAATTCTGTAATGAGCCTAGAGCAATTTTTTTTATTTTACAGTGTTTTTCTCAAAAAATTATCTCACTCATAGACAAACATTTTTATAGTCTCCCGCCCAAGACACCGACCTGGTGATTCAACAGAGCCGAATAAAACATTTGTAATCAACTTATAATTTTTGATCATTTGAAATTGGAGAAAGTAACTAATTTATAACTAGTTTCTTGCGATATCTGATTGGCACAATCTCATGCTCTTTTTTCATGCCAGGAGCGACTTGAGAAACCAAGTCGCTTCTGGTGTGAGAGAATTGGCCATCTGCAAGGAAGTTGCCCAGGGCTTGCCAGGATGTTTGATGTTTTACCATCCTTGTGGGAGCTTTCTCTCATGTCCCCATATGAGGAGCTGGAGCTGACAGAGGGAGCTCAACCCGCTCTCCCCAGATTCAAACTGTGCAGTCCGGCCAGCACAAGGGTTTAATCCATTGTGCCACCAGGGGCTCATGATCTCATACTGCCTTAATGTGTTTCCTTTTAAAACAAACTAGGCTTCTGCATCCCCCAGTCCTTATATCCGGATTGATATTGTATCAGTTTCAAGCAGTGAATCTGTCTGGATGTTTAATGCCACCAGGGTGACTTATCATGATTGCTTGTAAGAAAAAAGGCAAACCCTGATGGATCACCTTGGGATGTATGAACCTAGCTGTTTCACGAAATTGTTTCCTTGACATCTTTTAACATTAGCAGGAGATGTCCAGTTCCAAATGCTCTCACAAAGTGCTCATTGATTAAAACTTTTAAAGTCCACACAGCAAACACCCCTTCCTGGGCTATGCAGTATTTTTGCCCTTTGAGAAGTAATCCATCATAATAGACATCAGGATGCTGAAAAGTCTGAGGCATTTCCTGCTTTGTGGGCTGAGTGATAAAACAAGACATAATTCAAATCTCACCTTTTAAGAATGAGACCCTTTACAGAACCATATTTTATTCAGATGGGTTTTCCACGCATTTCCCCTTTAATACTACATCCAGCTCAATGTACTTCCACGCAGGCCCCTTCTATACAGCTGTACAAAATCCGAATGAAGCAGAGAGTGTTTGAGGACCGGGACATCCATAGGGATACCAAGGTGCTTGTTTATAGAGCTATTGTCCTCCCAACCCTGCTATATGCCTGTGAGACGTGGACTGTCTACAGACGTCACATGCAACTCCTGGAACGATTCCATCAGCGCTGCCTCCGGAAAATCCTGCAAATCTCTTGGAAAGACAAACAGACAAACGTCAGCATGCTGGAAGAAGCAAAGACCACCAGCATTGAAGCGATGGTCCTCCAACATCAACTCCGCTGGACCAGCCACATTGTCCGGATGCCCGAACACCGTCTCCCAAAGCAGTTGCTCTACTCCGAACTCAAGAGCGGAAAACAATGTTGGTGGGCAGGAAAAGAGATTTAAAGATGGGCTCAAAGCCAACCTTAAAAACTCTGGCATAGACACTGAGAACTGGGAAGCCCTGGCCCTCGACCACTCCAGCTGGAGGTCAGCTGTGACCAGCAGTGCTGCAGAATTTGAGGAGGCACAAATGGAGGGCGAAAGGGAGAAGCGTGCCAAGAGGAAGGCGCATCAAACCAACCCCGACCGAGACCGCCTTCCACCTGCAAACGAATGCCCTCACTGCGGAAGAAGATGCAGAGCAAGAATAGGACTCCACAGCCACATACGGACCCACAAGAATATTGGAAGACAATCATCCTCGGAAAATGAGGGATCACCTAAGTAAGTAAGTAAGTAACAAAATCCACATTGACCTGGATTTTATGGCAATGTGAACTCAGATACCCCAGTTTAAATCAGATATTGTGGATTACCTGCCTTGATATTCTGGGTTATATAACTGTGTGGAAGAGCCCTCAGAAGTAAGTCCCATCAGGTTCAATGTAGCTGAGGCTCAAGGAAAATATGAATATAATTGGAATTTTAGCTGTTTTGAACTTGGTTCAAATTTTATTTTGAACAAAGTCCTTTGAGAATAAAAGGAAATTTTAAGGATTAACAGAGGGCTGTTCTACACAGCCATATAGCTCAGAATATCAAGGCAGATAATCCACAATATCTTTGAACTGGATTATCTGAGTCCACACTGCCATATTCCTAGTTCAGGTGGATTTTATGCAACTGTGTGGAAGGGCCATTAGATCTCCACTGGGAAAAGGCATGGATTTTGTTATAATAATACAGAAGAAAGTTACACTGGTAATATTTCTGTGTTTTTGTTGCATGTATACGATTTTTGATATTAACAGAGCTTTTATTAAAAAGTAACCACTTTAGTTACAAGTCAACTTTCAAGTTTCTTCAAAATTGTCAATGTGGAGGTTTAGCTCAGCTGATAAATCACCAGCAACTAGATCTGTCAACCGAAAGGTTGCAAGTTAGAAGCTCCGGGTCGGCGTGAGCGGTCGACTGTCAGCCCTGCTCACTGTTTACCTAAGCAGTTTGAAAACAGCTTTAGCTGAAATTAGGTACCGCTAAAAAATGGGGGAGGTGTTTTACAATGCCATAAAGAAAGATCAGAAAATGCCCGGTGATCAAAAGGAAGGAGGAAGTCCTGATGGGTCTTTGTCATAGAGAATGGAGCAACAGCACCCCCTATGGCTGGACTCACCTTCCTTGGCACCAAAAAACCCCAAAAAAACTAGCTGGACACAGTTAACAACACTTCCTTTCTGTTCTGTCTGTGTAGCATTGAATGTTGGTCGGGTATGTGTGCTGTGATCCGTCCTGAGTCCCCTTCGGGGTGAGAAGGGTGGAATATAAACATATTATTATTAGTATTAGTATTAGTATTAGTATTTCTTAGTAGTAACCAAGGTGGATGCTGTTAGCTATTTTTAAGAACCACCCAAAAGCTCAAGATGCTGGCTTAATATTCTTCCTCAACTATTTAATGAGATCATATCCCATGACTATAAAAAGAATGAAAAGTAACAGAGTCAAAGGGGAGTGGTTATTCCCCAATATATAAATATGTTTTTTGAAATATACTAGTTGTCAAAGGAAGCCATAACTATTGCATATTCCCCTTGGACTTCTTTAACAAGAGTTAATGGAAAGAATGTTGAGGAAACTAACTATAGATAACTTTACACATGTAAGAAGTTACTCTCTACTTTGGGGGCAATCCAACACATTTTTCTGCCCAAAGGCAAGGGAAATTCATAAGTCATACGTACAAAGTCCATAGGACTGACTGCTGAAATTCTGAATGCTGAATGATTCCCTCACACTGCAGACAGGATAGCACCAAAGTGCAAGCTATGAGCCGCCACAAACTAGGTTCCTGTGGGAGCAAACCTTGCTAGCACGTCCCTGACGTCATGAGCCTGCGCCTCTCTCCCCGCCCCTTTCTCCGCCCCTTTCTCTTTGCCAGCGTGGTTTTTCCTTTGCTAGGGCAGCATTGCCCGCATTTTCTCAGTTGAATTCTGCCAACTGAGAGAGTACGCTGGCAATGCTGCCCTGTTGTCGTTGTTCATTCGTTCAGTCATCT